TGCATGCTGCCCAGAAATGCGCAAAGGAGGCAAATTTACAGTTTCTATATGTCACTTTTTTGTTGTCCATAGGCACTGTGTGAGAAGACTCTTGATTGTATAGTTGTTAGTTCAAGTGTTGCCCAAAATCTAAACCTTATTTTGGTGAAAAGAAACCGATAATTTGCGTTTAAAAAATAATTTTCAGTAAGAGCTACTAAATGGCTTTTAGAAAAACTTCTTTGGATCCTTTAAGGAAAACCATTTCCAATTCACCTGTGAAGTGTAACTGTTTCTGACTGTACTGCTGATCCAAAGGTAGGGGCCCCCAACCCTAGAAGGCACAGTACAAGACTATGGAGCAAGAGTAGGCACAGGCACACAGTAAGCACTTAGTATAGGATAAAGTCAGAGTTCTGGCTTCACTCTGTGTCATGTCTTCTAAGGACTTCCAAGAGCCGGCATACAGCAAGTGCCAGCCCCACCAAGCACCTACACAGACTTCTTTCCTCCTCATCTCTGTACCTCCATCAAAACATTCTAACAAAGAATTCTGCCTCAGACTCCAGAGATGCTCAATGACCAGAAGTGATTCTCCTCACCAAGGCTCCAGCTTCCATCTCCAAGGATCATAATCACCAAGTGATAAGAGTGAGCTTTTAACAAACAATGCAGGTGTAGTTTAGGGAGTTGGCAAAAGGCAAGTCTACCCTTGTCCATTGTACTACCAAAAGCTGAAGAGCTGGTTAAACGTGCACTGTGAGACAGACTGAGATTGGAAGAAGAGTTAGCATTGTCCAAAAAGAAATGTGCTCATTACTTGATAGATGAAACTACCACCAGACCTCTGTCCATCACCTTTATAATAATAAAAAGAAAGTTAGAAAATAAAAGTGGATTGTTGGCAGAGAGAGTGATGTTTCCAACGCTTTCACGTAATCAGATTCAGGAGTCACCTTCCTTTTGCACATTATTTCCCTAGCTGCAAAATTTAGCAGTTGGCCTCATTTTTAGCCAGATTGCCATAAAGAAATCCCACAAAAGGCAGGCTTGTGTTTGTAAGTTGGAGGCGGAGCGCTTTGTATCTTGTGCCTCCATCCAGCACCGAGGAGAGTTTGCTGCAGTTGGAACACATCAGGAAAATCAACTTCGCAGTGGGTTGTAACCCTTCCTGATCAGAATTATGCCCCGTGTTAGACAGAGTGGATGCCCGTGCGCAGGAGGTGAACGGAGCAGTCAAGCGTTAGCGCAGGGAAGACACCGGCTCGCGCCCCGCTCTCCGCTCTCTGCTCTCCGCTCTCGGGGGTCGCAGCCCCAGCTCTCACCAGCCCCAGGAAGGCCAGATACACGGCCGAGGTGGTGAACCAGCGCAGCAGGCGCTGGCCGCCGCTGCTCCGCCGGGAGCCCTCCACGGTCTCCGTCTTTGTCGCATTCTCTGCCCGGGCCTCGTCCTGGTGCGGCCGCTGCCCCGCAGGCCCGGCCCCACGGAAGTCCGCTTCCAGCTCCAGCTTGGCCACCCCGCAGAACGCTCGAGCTGCCCACGGCCCCAACTCCCGTCCCTCCGGCCCGGACGTCCCTCCAGATGCCCACTCCCCCAGGGGCTGGACGCAGGCAGGGCCTGGGGAAGCCGGACTTCGGACTTGGGACTCCGCAGAGGCTGGCTGTGGAGCAGACAAGCAACTGGCAACGCCCAGACACTCGCGCCAAGCGGCTGGTGGAAATGACATCAAACACCAAAAGCCGGCTGGGCTCCAGACCGGAAGCTGACCTCTTTGCCTAGGAGACCTCAGGACTCGGGCTGGGCCCAGCCATAGCTTGAAGCCCAGCTGGCTTAGCACCACCATTCTGTTCTCAGCCTTCTTAGTACCTAGGTCTACAGTCAGCAGCCACTAGTGTTGGCTCCTGGATTGGTTTGATTTGACACAGGCTCTAACTAGATAGCCAAGCATCCTGCCTCACCAGCCTAAGGGCTGCTTCTAAGTAAACCCCTAACAACTTAAAATCCTGTTTCTTTAAAACAACATTTTCCCTGACAAATAAGTTTATATCAGATCCAGTGTTTGCCTAGCAGGCACAAGGCCCTGGCCTCAATCCCCATGACTAGAAAAAATTATGGAAAGGTACACATTTGCCCTCTAACCATTGCTCAGAAAGTAAACCAGCTTCATTTACCTATTTAATATTCATTTAGTATTCATACCAGTCATTCTTACCACTGTTTTCCAGCCGAATTGACTTCTCAAAATGTCTCCAAGTTAAAAATAACATACCTGCTACTGATGAATAAATACTATTCCTTCGATGAAGGGAGACTTGGGCCACAAAGATTGCCTGGCAAGGTTGATCAAACTGTCCCTATAGAAGGCTCAGTGCTTCCTCATCATTTCCCAAAGTAAATATTGATCTGTAAATACTGTGTCCAGTTGCAGAGATGAATACATCAGCATTACATGCAATTTTTTTCTTCCCGTAAACTTACATTTAAATAAGGGATTCAGAGCTCACTACACCCCTGCCCCAGTTCGATTCTAGACTCTGGTATTGACATTTAATAAAATGATTACAGTCTAGATACCCATATTTCTTTTTCTTCTTAAGAATTATTCAAGTAAAGACAAAGCTGCAATGGAGACTATAGGAAGGTAGAGATTCTAGGTACATGAAATGCATGTCAAGGGAAACTGCCGCAGTGAGAAAAAGCAGAGAGTGTACCAACTCTTCATAAATGCTGCTGTAATGTATTCATCTTGTTTTGCTGAATCTAATACACTGTGAAAAATCAACATTTTTACATCATTTTCTTTCTGTACAGGAAAAAACTGTCCATTGAGTCCAAAAGTGGTAAAACAAAACAACCAAAATATATCCAAAGTAAAATCTCCCAACACTGTAAAGGTATATTTATTATAGGACACGCCCTGATTTCAGAGGAGTTAGAATGTGACTGAATCATGAAATGCAGCATTTTAACAGACCCTTATTGAGAAAATCACAAATAACACAATAAACATTAAGTACATTGAATTAGAGCATATTAATAATCACTAGCAAATTCCTAAAGCTCTTTGTTTCTCTTTCCCTACTCAGTTGACATGAAGAAGGGACTGGCAATCACATTAATTCCTAGAGGATATCTCAGAGAAACTATGAAAATGAGAGATTTTTAATTTAGAAATCAGTTCTTGAGTCACAGGTGAGGTCTTTGTTAAGTGCATCTGTGTTGCTGGAAAGCTGAGTCCTGTTTTGAAGCCAGCTCTCTTTGGCACTGCACGGTGTCCTCTTCATAGAGCAGAAATACTCAAAGGACAGATTAGCATCCTCTGGTTCAGCCTACAGAGAAAGAAAAGCATTAAGCAAAGCATGTGAGCTTTCCAAGGATGCCCTTTCCTAGAACTGCCCTCCCTACTGTTCAAGCCCAGTGTGGAAGCCTGACAATTTGGTCAGCAAACTGTTTCACAGGTTTGTGTTGTTTCTCCTAAATCAGAATACTACCCAACTTCTGAAAAACAAAAGTCTTGCTCAGCAGAAAGGAAGCTGAGAACAGGAGCATCACAAGTTTGAGGCTCAATTGAAATACATAGTGACTTCCAGACCAAGGTGGGAAAGATAACCAAACTCTGTCTCAAATTAAGAAACAACAAGAAACTCAAATGCCTGAAAACCACTCTGAAAGGGGGAGATCATGGAACATCCACTTATTCAAGCTCTTACCAAATATGAGCCTCAGAACAAAATCCTACTGCATGTAAACATGGTATATTTATAAAATGCTCTGGATTCAGAGCATTTTGAACCTTTTTACCATGAGCTCTAAATGGACGGAGAAAATGTTTTTTCTCATGGGGCTTGAACTCAAGGCCTGAATGCTTTCCTTGAGCTCTTTTTCTCAAATCTATTGCTCTACTACTTTG